TCATCAGCCTGGACGACGCGCTTCTGACCGCAGCCGGACGCGAAGAGTCGAACACGGCCGCGGAGATGGGGGCTCGCGAACTTTTTGGGCGTGGGTGTGAGTGTGCCGGTAGGCGTGCGCGGTCAGGCCCCTCAGGGACGCGTCAGGAGGGGCGGGCGGGCGGCGCGAGAGTGCTCGTCTCGTCGAGGTGCGCAGCGCCATCAGCTGACGCTGGCGGCAGGGCGCTTGTACCTGCTGCTGGCCACGATAGCACAGTGCACACGACGGCAAGTGAGCTCGGCCCTGGGCAATCAGAGAAGTACAAGGCAGGTCCAGGCTGGCGCGTGCTGCTGTCGTCCCTGGGGGAACCGGGTGCAACAGAGCGGCTGCCCGAAATACATGACTAGTACTAAGAAAAATAGGCGTTGATACGGCACAACGGGCGTGGCCAAGCAGACAATGTCGTCCCGCCTTGAAGACGGCCAGCGGCGTACCGTGGGATCGCGAAAGCTTGTCCGGGACTTAACTCAGTCTAAACGTTGCAACCACTACACCTGCCCCTTATGGCAGGTTATGTCGCAAACCTGCGCCACCAAGGAGCCTCCTCTCAGTGCTACCGGACGCGTAACGACAGACTTGGCATTCTGACATGTCCGATCATAACATGGTCCCACTCCGTTCTGACACTGCACCGGGCCGGGATATATTTCTGTCGACAAAAGAGTATGACGAGCACGCTAAAAGAAGAATCGGACATATGTCGCTCGCAGCTGCTCAGCACGTTCGGCCACGGACGCATACGGGCCCATCCTCCTCCAACACGGAACCCGCTGCAGCACTAACGCCGGCCCAGGGGCCCTAGAAAGGCGCGGCGGGCCTGGCTGATCACTGTGTTGCACAGCGGCGAGAGATGCCCGTGCACTCTGGCGCCGGCCTGCCCACGGGTCTTACGTCCGGGTGCAGTAATACAGCCCTGACTCGCAAGCGTTGTGGAACGCAACGGAGCGTGCCATAGTAGTCGAACGGGCGTATACAGCGGCCGGCCTAAGCGAGATCAAAGAGGCAGAGAAGACGCGACGCGCTGCCCTGGCGCGACGCAGACGCGCAGGTCTCCCAACTCCCTTCTCGAGATTCGTCCAGCAGAACTAGAAAGAAGCACGTCGCGAGTGCCGGCTGCCGAGCGGTGGAGCGGTCCGGTTACGCGTAGGGGCGCGACGGCCTTGCCAAGCTCAGGCCATGCATCCCCGGCGAGTCGGGATTGATCAAAGACCGTCCCCAGTGGCGCCGACACGGGACAGCCCGAGGCGGGCAGGCGCGAAAATGGGAATGCAGTAGAGCAGAGGGGACCTGTTGCTTCGCATGGTCGTGCATGGCGACCAGGTTGTGGGAACAGTGTAATGCGAGACCGATGTGCGGCCGGTATCCAAGGTGGTGAGTCATGGCCGCCTTTGCTCTGCTGTGGCGTCGTGGGTATGTCAGAAGGAAAGACCCGAGGCGGGAGAAGAGGCCGGATGATATGATGGTTCAGTGGTTCAGTGGTTGTTCCTTAGTGCGTGGTGATGAGCATAGGTTCGCGGAAGCGTGTGCGAGAACGTCGGTCTATGGTGGTCTCCGACGTACTAGCGAACCTCGATGAGACTGTGTTGTCTCAGCGTCCAGCCACAATGACTGGGAGTGGCTGTGAAAACCCAGGCGGAGAAGTCGAGTTGGTGGTTGCGAGTTTGAAACGACGGGGCGCTGAAATCGCCAGAGGCTTGCTTCTAGGGCGAAATCAACAGCACAGGTGCCGGCACTCGTTTTCTGCAACTATCGCTGTGATTGGCTATTGCATGGGGTCCTAGGGTACTATGAACAACTGCACAATGCCACTAGAACTGCTGTGCTTACGTACGCTTGTTATGCGCCAGCTTCAAAGCCTGTAAGAAGCTCTGAACGCGCTAGATGACGGGTAAACCCGCGGTGCTTTGAAACCATTGTACCACAGAAGCAACTTTTCGCACTGCCGCATCGCTATACCCAAGTCGCAGATCCGGACGCAACTTCTCACCGGCGGGGTCGTCCCCCCACGGCATAGTACGATAGCAGATAGACATGGAAGAGTTAAGGGCAGGAGATGCTGTCAACGAGATAGACGACGTTATCCGCGTGTCCGCCGCAGCAGAACTCGAAACCTCTTTTGACACGAGAATATCTGCCGTAGAAAAACGCCGGCCAGGTGAGTCAAACGCACTCCTAATACTGCATCATGACACACTTTGAAAGTAGACGATATCGCCCTTCTTCAATGACGGGTCGCCCGAGTCGGCGTAGGCACCGCCCCACTGCTCCGCGACCTCTCGCCACGCCGCCAGGCGGCATATCCCTCCGTCCTGGTCGCCGACGATCACCCTCAGGATCGACACCTCCTTGCCGGCGTCGGTACCCTTCTTGATGCGGATCGTGTCGGGGCCCTCGAGCTCGAGCACGGCGACGAGCAGGTTGACCTTGCGTTTCCCAGACGGGAACGGGTAGGACACGCGCTGGGGGCCGGTGCCAGAGGGACTGTGCTCCAGCGCGGCGAGAGAGGACAGGGAATGTAGGGAGAAATGGAATGCGGGGAAGCGTACGACAGAGGCGTCAGAGGCGTCCCCGGTCAGCTGCGAATATCCGAAGGAGGTGGTGTCCTGGGTCTCTTGCATCGAGCGGACCAGCGACTGTGAGGGGCGGAGGAAAGTCGTCTCGCGCATACTCTGAAAGACTGATTGGTCTGCTCTCGTCACATCGTCCATTGTAGTGGCTAGCCAGGTGATGAATGTGGTTGGCTCTGCGATGCATCGGCCAGTAAGTACGAAATGGCATACTCGTTTGCGATATGCGTACCCTGACTATCTGCAACGCCCATAGCATCAGCTTTGCCGTCATCTGAACGTTCTTCTTCGTCACCGCTCGGTGTATCCGTGAAGATTATGTTTTGGTAGAGCATAGAGATCCGCCGGCTGGCGGCTTCCAACGTCGCTGGAAGAAAGGCCTTGCGGGACGAAAGGTCCACATCTTGGGACGTCTCCCCGGATGTGATGGGCGATGCACACTCCAGTCTGTGCCAGCTATATTCCTGTGTCGCGCTCTCATCCTTCAGCTTCAGTTCGCGAGAGGTTGGTGCTTTGAGAAAAACATGGAAGCGGGCCATGACTCGGGCTTGGAGTAACAGACGCCCATAAAAGACATAGCCGAACCACGTGATTAATAGGCGCCATTATGATGCTTCGGTGCTTTCCAGATTTGAAATCTCAAAGTCTCTTTGCACAGACCATCCCACAAGAGCGCTCTCTAGACATGGCGGGCTCAGCCTCTCCCATTCTACAGCATCCTCCCCCACCCGTCGTCATCCTCTCGACGACCCCGCCAGATGAACCCCCGCCGCCGTATCCCTCGCGCGAGCGCAGACAGCGCACTGTACGCTCAGGTCGAAGACGACGAACGATCTCGAATGGCCAGACTCTGCCAGGTGTACATCCAGAATTTTCCGAACTTCTTCAAGTGCCTTCATCAAACACAGATGGTTACTCGGATTATGACCTCGCTTCGCCTTTCCTCAGCGTCGAGGTCGAGCGTGTACCTCATCACGAGGTGACCGAGAACACCCCGCTGCTTGCAGGCGCAAACCCCCGGCTGCCCGTGGGTGGAATCACTCGCCGCCAGCGCACCCTCTCGTTGTCGAGTACCGTGCACTCCGCCACGTCGTTTTCCCCGTCGCTTGCGCAGACCTTCATCTCCGCGTTTCGCCCTGATCGGGACTGCGACCTCGATCCCGAAGAGGCGACACTTGACTCAGACTCGGACGATGCTCTCGACTCGCCGACGCCCCGAGCGGTGCCAGAGGAGCAGCAGAGGCTGTTTGCGGCGGAGCTGGGCGGCCACCCGGCGCTAGGAGGCCAGGTGCCGAGGCGGCGCGGACGTTGGGCGAGGTACTTCCGGCCCTTGACGATGAAGGCGTACTACTCTGCGCTCTTCCACCTGCTCTTCCTCAACTTTCCCTATGCCCTGGTCGCCTGGATCTTTCTCTTCGTTTTCACGCTGGTATGTCCCGCCGATTACCGCATTTGGCCGACCGGTACTGACCCTTATCACTTCCGCACCTTCCGTTATCTAGACAGGCACGACGACCCTCATGGCTCTTCCGGTCGGCGCGGTGCTCTGCTTCCTCGACCTTATCGGGGCACGCGCCTTCGCACGGGGCGAGCTCCACCTCCAGTCGACGTTCCACCACCCGCTCTCCTTCCCCATCCCGGACCCGCCGCCGCCGATATTCACCCGCACGCGCCTCCCGACGCCCGCAGAGATCGAGAGCGGCGCCGCGGTGCGGCCGCAGGCGGAGCACTCCTTCTACAGGAACGCGTACGCGCTCTTCACGGATTCGACGTCGTACATGCCGCTCTTCTACTTCCTCGTCCTCAAGCCGCCGCTCACCGTGCTGCTATCTCTGTTCCTCGTGTGCATCGTGCCGCTGTCGTTCGCACTCGTGTTCCCCGCGCCTGCGATGCTGAGGCTTGTGCGAAGGCTCGGCCTGTGGCAGGCGAACGTCGCCGTCGAGGGGCTCTGCTACCCAAGTGTCCGGTGACACAGTTTTTTCTTTTTCTTTTACCACTCACTCGAAGCGTACAATATTACCTTCGCATATTGGAGGCTTGCTCTGTCGGAAGGGTTGAAGATCCCTACGTGACGCAGGGCGACTAGCGTGTTGTATAGTCTAAAAGTCTACACTGTTACTGTATTTCTAGGATACATTTCCACTATCTCAGATCCCTGCCATTTCAGGGCATCTCCTCTTAAGGGCAGCTCTAGCTTGTTAGCTCCGCCAGGTTCGTGGCGGGAAGTAGACGGATTTGGCAGGCTGGAGCTTGGTGGCGTCGATGACGTTCAATAAAGCTGAAACCAAAGCCATGTCCCCGATGCCAAGCCCGTCACTCATTGAGAGTAGCAGGACAGACAGCACAGTGCGACGAAGATGCGGAAGTGGATGCTAGGCAGGCGGCTTGGCCTCCGGTGCCACCACCACTTGCTTATTCATATACAGTACTATTAATTCGCCATTTAATTAATTAATTAATAAAATTACTATGTTCCCCTCAGCGAGCTTCCATCCGATTTGCGGGTCGGTCCAGCGCAAAT